ACAAAGCCACACGGAGTTATCTTTTCTCTTTCTATTGCTCTTGTTTTTCTGTCGTTCTCTTATTTTGTCTTTGCTTGTACTTTTTTTACTTTGCATTTTGAGAAACACAAGAAAAACATCTAAAATGTGAGTGAATTTGGAAGTTATTGAGCTATTTTTATTTTCTGCGCTCAGGCTGACGTAAGTAACCGGAAGTGAAATTTCAGTGACGCAATCCGGTGTGACAAGAAAATAAGTGCATACATTACTTTTTGCCTAGTCATGTTTACGATGCTTTCACTTTAAAGCAAAATGGCTGACAGCATGAACGAAACTCTGGCTGATTCTTCAGCCAGCGGAATAGAAAGGAACTTGGAGAAATTGACCCTAGAAGAGGAGCAAAACACAGCAAGAGACGAAACACCCGAGCCGAAAAGTTACAGCAGCGATACGAGATCGAGAGAAGAAGTAAGAAAAAAGCTCTTCGCTGATGGCGACAAAACGCCAAAGTGGCAAGATGGGGAATGGCTAGAGAGCCATCCATGGCAAGACAAGACACCAAGTTGCCAAGAAACAATGGATACGACCATCAACGTGTCGAAAGTGTACACTGTGTCACAAGACTGGCAAGATGGTGCAAACGTTGATCTCAAAGAGATCTATTCCAAGCTTTCGACATTTATTAATAAAATGAAAGGACGATCGATTCGCCAGGAGCTGGAAGATATATTACAAATCGATGGAAACTCACTTAAATTAGACACAAATTCAACATTGCTGAAGGCGATTAATTTTGAAAAGGTGAAGCGCACCCCACATTTGCTTGAAATAACTCAAAAGCAAGATAATGTTCCACCAAAAGACAAGCCATCTTATCGTCAACCGGGTAAAAATAACAACTTCAAGGCTTTTTCTTTAGAAAAACCACATCAGCCATCGCAAAAAAACTCATGGTTCCTCGACTGCGAATACATGCTAAAGATGAATCTGCCTGATGACTCATTAAAGTGGTTTAAAAATGACGATCAGCAAGGAAAACGCATAAAAAAAATTAATCCTGAAAAGGAGAATAAAAGATGGATTTTTATACCATCTTTCCGCCGCGCCAAGATTGCCTTGTTAGATTGGCCCCAAGATAACATCGTGACTCAAGAATCCACCATCAGAATACTGGTAGTGAGACCTTCAGAGTTTGAAGAGTACGTGTCTTGCTGCGGGCACGAGTTCCCTATTATATGCCTTCCACAAGATGAAATCGGAGCAGGCTATCCACGATACTGGATCCAGAAAATTGCTCTGCGCTTGAAGCTGCAGTTCATCTGGATGACTGATGACAGCGTGGAGTGCTTCTACGAGTATCATCCCGAACAGAAGCCACTGGGTTCCTACGCAGCAGACAGACGAAGAAAATTCGGCCTTGTGTTCGAGCGTATTGAACACTTTGTCCAAGACGCCGATGACAATGAAAAGCCTATTGCAGCAATGAGCCCGAGGCGATGGAATCCGCTATGTCAACCTAAAAAGCCATTTTCTCGTAAGCCTCCACAGGTTGCTGTCTACCTCAACCTCAGAGCACTGTCGGAAAAGAATGTTTACTATCGACCAGAACTTAAAACATTTGAAGACATGATATTTGGATATGAATGCGAGCAGAAGGGTTTGAAAGTTTACAGGGATAACCGCATTCCTTTACAAGACCACCAATGGAAGGACACCGGAGCCAGCAGCCCATCAGTTAAAAACATGTGAACCAATAACGGCAGTTAATACCGAAATGTTCAAGAAAATCAAAACAAACATGTCTAATGAATGTGAGCTCTTGAAAGACTTGGAAACTCTTAACAATCATAAAACAATACTTTGTTGTCCTACACGAGGGGAAAGGATTGACAATCATTGCAAGGAATCCCATAGACATGTCTACTTTAGACTAATGAAAAGTAAAAACCGAGTTCCATTGTATTTTGTCAACTGCAATATTTGCTTGTTCATTTACTGTATGTAACTAGCATCACAGTGTTAATTACATTGACACTGAATTAATGTGATTATTTACTGAGGTGGCAGGATCAAAGACTTTGCACATTCCATTATGATTTTCTTTAGTTGAAATATGTTTCAATTTTTTTTTAGCGTTAGCTTGCTTTGTATACCTACTGTCATTTACCTTCCTAACAGGCAAGTGTTTACTCAGTAAAACAAAAGGAAGCATTCAAAATAGAATGTTCTTGAAGTACACGTTGATTTCAGTGTTTTAAAGCTGTTTGCAGATAGCTGCCAACCAATTGCTAGTCCAAGTTTTAAATATTTTAGCTAGAACCCAATTCCTCGGGATTGGCATAGAAATTGTCATGTGATGTGAAGTTTTTAATGACTGTATGTAGAGTCTACAAGGATGGGCTGATAAATACTTAAGAGCCTGGACCATGGTTCCTTCCCAGATTTCCTGCCATGTTTTTTCTAAACCGGAGTTTTTTTCTGGCAGGAGGATTTTTTTTGGCTTCTGTTCAAACAGAGTCTCTGTAAATGTTACAATTAGAGACGCTCATAGACATAATATTACGAATTAGGATCGATAAACTTAAGAAGCAATGAACACATAGCACAGATTGTTAAGGTTGCATGAGCATGCTATATTGGCACTTCTAATAAAGTTAATAAATGCTTGCAAAAAAAGATGTGATCTTCCCTGTGTCAACTTCATCACAACTTATTGCACTGTCTCAGAGCACACAAGGCAAGCTAAGGTAGAATACATGGTCATAGCAGGTGGTTTAAGGTTACAGTATACCTTCAGGGGTGTCTCGCGCGCAAGCGATGTAGCGCGTGCAGTTTAAGCTGTAGATACCTAAACCCCTATATCAAATTAAAGCTTATGGAGCTGGCTATCAAACTATACCAACAATTNTCAATCCTTCAGAAAATCAAACGTTACTAGGGTACTAGAAAAGGATATAAGTTTCAAATAAGGTTAGTTTACCAAGATCTGAGTTACCTTAGCAACGTTACAACGTCATATCCCATTTTATATGCAACCGAATAGCTTATCATCAAAGGATAATTTTGGAAATGCGACGTCAAGATCTAAAAGCTGACATAGTTGTCTAAACGATGACAAAATTTTAAAAAATTTGTATGAGCGTTTTCGAGAAAATTGCGGGTGAAGTTTCAAGGTGTCAAAATACAACAAAACAAAGCTGTTTTGAAATGTTATTGCAAACTATGTCCATTAGACTTACCTAAATGGTATTCTGGTCCTAAATGAATCTTTTAACGTTTAATTACATCCCAGCTAGTCAAAATGGCATCCTTTGGAACAAGAGATCGTGAAGAACTTCAGGTGATGAACATCGATGAAGAGATCATACAAATATATGGGAACGATAGTATGCGAAGGAGAGAATTATGACCTCGTCAGGAGGGGGGGACATTTTGAAAATAGGAATTGGGAAGGGCGATATAATTTGTATCTAAAAATATTGGGGGGGGGGGCGGTTACGTTTTGAAACACAACAATTTTTTTAAATAACCTACCCCCATGGGACGTCATAAGGGATTGGTCCCTGAAGCTAACTTTTTTTTAGCGAGATTTATAATTATGATAATTTGCCGCCTAAGATCTTTCAGAGTGTATATAACGTAAAGAAGTCGATACTGTTTATGTTTTCACGTCAATCACGGCGTTATCTGTCGTCACGAGAAGCTACCAGTCCATTGCTTCTGAGTTTATGTTTTGATTGGTTAGTTTTCCTTTAGGTGGCGTGGTTCAGTTAGTCGCACTGTAATGCGATAAAATTAAGTTTCAAATGCAGTATTGTTTCTTAATGCTATTTTTATACTCACAGTATAGTAAGTTACAAAGTGTTGCACATAAATTTTAAGCAATTTAACGAATCGAATGTGGTTTAGCGTGGTCTGTACTCTTATCGACAACGATACGCGTCATCAAAGTGGTCAAAATGTTGTAGACTCACGCAACAAATTTTGAACACTGTGATGACGCGTATAGTTGTCGATAAGAGTACAGACTAGGCTAAACCACATTTCGATTTGTTTTTAAGGTTACAGTATACCTTCAGGGGTGTCTCGCGTGCAAGTGATGTAGCCCGTGCAGTTTAAGCTGTAGATACCTAGACCCCTATATCAGATTAAAGCTTATAGAGCTGGCTATCAAACTATACCAAGAATTGAATTGAAAATGAATTGTCGAATTTTTCATGACCACTAAATGCGAGCGCCCGAATCACCTTTCGAAAGCTACAAGTCAAAGCGAATTTCGTTTTTCGCCAATTTAATTTTTTCCTCGGTTTCAGGGCCCAAATCGCTTAAAACAAGTGTCTGCGTTTTGACATATTCAATTGCAGTAAAAAGTTACAGAACATTTTCGAGATAGGATTTAAAAAATGTGGAGTAATCGTACAAAAATCACGCTCGAAGAAAAGGTATTTCGAATTTAACAACTCCCAGACACGCTTTTTTAGCTTATATGTTAAACTAGCTACTGTCCAACTTTGAGAGCAATTGAACAAATTCCCTTTGAGTTATAACTCTTTAAAGTGTCTGCTTCAAGTGAAAAAATT